TAATTTTATCGATGGAGAATCATCATCGATCCCAATCAGTCTCTAAGAATTAAAAGACTCGATAATTCATCAACCAACTAATCTTATTATTAAAACAAAATTAAAATTAACTAATACGCCTTTTTTTATTTATCATTGTTATTTTTTGTCGTTTTTTTGTCGATGAAGAATCGTCGTCAATCCCTAAGAATCAGAAGACTTGACAATTCTTTCACCATTTGATTATCTAAACTAATTATGACAATGAAATTTAAAATTAAAGTATGCCTTCTTTTTTATCATTAATATTTTTTTTATCAATAGAAAATCATTATCGGTCTCTAAAAATTAAGAGACTTGACCATTCATCCACCATTTGCTTATTTGAACTAATTATGAAAATAAAATTTTAAAATTAAGTATCCCTTCTTTTTTATCATTTATATTTTGTTTTTTCGATAAAAAATCATCATTAATCCCTAAAAATTAAGAGACTTGACCATTAATCCATCATTTGATTATCTAATCTAATTATTCAAATAAAATTCTAAAATTAACCAACTAAAATAAATTATAAGAGATTAAATTTGTTGAAATCTAAGTTAATCAAGACATAAATATACATAAATAAAGATATTCTAAATAACTTTACTTAAAATAAAATAATAAAAATTTTAAAAAATTATGGTTCCTTTTAATAGTGGGTCGGGCTCGTTAGGCTAGCCTACTGGATAGACCCGTTTATAGGTTGGAAAAGTCCAACCTCTTTTATAACAAAACCATTCCATGTATCCTTTTTTATACCGAGTTTCCCATTAACATAATCAAAAGGAAATACCTTTCATCTTCTCTCGCTTGTATCTCCATCTCCTCTTGTCTCTCTCTAAATAGATTTTTATGGCGAGATAAAAGTGGAAAGAGAATTGTGTTCATATTAAGAGAGTGAAAGAGAAGTATAGTTTCATTTTGTTTTGTTTTGGGCATGACTCATTGTCGGGCCTATCTCCTTCCATGTTTACTTCTTCTTTCTTTTCATCTTTAACTTCTCTAACGACATTTTTACAGCTTATCAAAATCTTTCATGTCTAAAATTTTACGGATTCGTCTAGAGATTCCTTGTCATTGTGCAAACCCTCCATTTTGGCTCCAGTTCCTAGTTCTCTCTCATATGGTCCTTTTCCTTCTCATTTAACATTTCACTATCCCATTCCCACCTCTCTACTTCTTCCATTTCTTTTAAAAATTAACGAGCAGGTCGAAGAGGGAAATGTGAGATCCTAGTTGACAAAAAGGAAGAGAGATGAAGGGTCGCCTTATCTACGAGGCAAGAAAACACCAATGCCAATCTCCCCTTTTAACCTTCGATCTAGTAAAGAAAAACATCTCATGCTTGCTATATTGAAGTTTTATCTTTTAAGTTTGCTTGAAGATGAGGCCTAGTAATTGAGTCGGACTAAAAGGATGCATCGCTCCCCTATTTTCATACCCAACGTTTCTGCCTCTACTTTGGGTCTCGCTATGGATGGTGATAATGGATACATTACATACGGGTAATGTGATTGTGAAAGTAGGAGATGGCAATGGTTGTGATTTGGAGGATATGCCTACCAAGTGTTTGAGTTTTTGCTTATGAAAGGGTGAGTTTGTTATTTTGGGGAGGAGGATCGGATTTAATGATGGAGGGCTTATAGAGGTTTAGGGCTGCTTGTTTTAAGGTCTTAGAAAGAGAAAGAGAGAGAGAGAGAGAGAGAGAATTGATTTCTACCGTTAAGGGTAGTGGTGATCTCATGTAAGGTTGCTACGGTTCGATAGTTATGATTGATGAGAAAAGCATATATAGGCAAAGGCTAGCTATAGGTTGTATTATTTCCTTCCTTTTTTAAAAATATGGTGGTTGTTATTTTGACATAGGCCGATTGCAACCATAAAGGAGAGGGTTACGTATGTGATGGGATCCCGAGAAGATGGAGGCAAATGGGCTTTTGGTGACTACATAATGGTCAAAGGACTTTGGCTTAATAGAGAGGAAACTATGAGCTTGACAATGAAAGGCCATTTAGATATGGTAGTTTGTAAAGACTTGGAGGAGGGAGGAAGATGGCATCTTTGGAAGAGCCATGACAGACCATGCTTTTTCAATAAAGGTGACTCGCCTAACTTTTATTTTTTTGTAGAGATTACATTTTTAGGATTTTTTTTTGTTGAATAGGGAAATTGTGAAGGCCCACTAAAATGAAAGGAAAGAATTGCTTTGATAGGAGGTCTTTAAGGTTGTAAGATGCGTTATCTCCTCAATCATTTTCTTATTATTTATTTTTTTATATTTTGCATTTTATATGTATTTTTTACATTTTTATTCTATTTTCATTTTTTAATCTTTGTATTAAATTTCAAACTAAAGAAAAATAAGATAAAATAAAACAATAAGATAAGGAACAAATAATATATAAAAAAATATGAATAAATTTTGAGTTATGACAATTGCTTTTTATTCACAATGCTTACGACGTAAAGTTAAATGAAAAATATGTTTTCCACGACTTTGTATAATAAGCTTATAAAGAAATTCTTTTTTTTTTAGAGATTGGTCCGTGATTGAACTCGAAATTAAAACTATGATGAGATGACCTTGTTATGAAGGGTGACCCGCCTTGACAATTAAATATGCATTGCATTACTATGTTGTTAAAGATAACCTATCCTTAAAATTAAATAAGCGAGTAATGGAATAAAATGAAACCATTTCCCTTGAAAATAACAAATTTGTACAAATGGAATAGAATATCATAAGGAATGGCACTCAAAACACAAAGTCGTAAAATAAATAGATATATGATTCTTTTTTTATTATGGCATGTGCATAGATAAACCAATAATTATACGAAAGCACGAAAAAATGCATCAAAGCCAACAAAGAAATGCATAAATCAGATAACAAGCATTGGAAACCGAAGACACGAAAGGCACATGATCATGAAAATCTTAGCACCAAATGCACAAACGAAAAGAACAAATCAGTGCAAATGTAATGGAATATCATGAGAAATGGCATGGAGAATGATTGTAAAATAAACACAAACATGGTCCATTTTTTCTTGCGGCATGGGCACAAATAAATCAATAATTTTTCTAATTAGATATTAGGAAAAAATATATGAAAGCCAATAAATGAATGCATAGAAGAGAATAACGTACAATGATTTGTATTGATGCAACAAAGAGGCCTTACAAAGAAAATACAAACCTAAAAGTCGAATAGAGACGAAGAATACGACGTGGAACCATAAAGTGGAGTGATGGTAAGACAATAAGGAAGACCGCCTAACAACAAACCGTGAGATACGAAAGGAAAAGCCCGAATAAAAAAGACAAAGAAAACCCAATAAGAGAGAAAGGAAAGGCAAAGTGTTTTTAAGAAGAAATAACAGGGATTTTTTCAAAAAAACAATGAAAAAAGCAAAGATCAACACAATACAATTCATTATTGTAATATAAAAAATAGCTTAAATCGTTATATCAGCCAAATGCTCATGCAAGCATGAGTGGAAAAAAAGACAACAATTTTCTTTTTGTTTTATTCCAATTGAAAAATGGTAAAGGATAGTGAATGTCAAAAAACCAAATATTTCCCATGAAAATAACAAATTTGTGCGAAAACAATAAATGCATGTGCAAATGGAATGGAATATCATGAGCAATGTCACTCGTAACACAGGACCGTAAAATAAACAAAGATGTTGTTCTTCCTCTATCATGGCATGGGCATAGATAAACCAATAATTGTACAGATTGTAGGAAAAAGAATCAAAGCCAATAAAGAAATGCATAAAATAGATAACAAGCAATGCAAACCCAAAAACCAGCTCTAAAAAGCAAGGATAATGGGGAGTTCGACAAGATAAAAACAAAGATGCCGCATATCATTTTTTGTTATGCGAGTTATGAAAGAGCAAAGGTCATGGTTCGACGAATCAAGAGCAAAAATGCAGCACGCCATTTTTTATTATTCAAAGTTAACCAAGCCCATAAATAGCACTATGGCATGTATATGTTAAAGGATAACGATATATAATCCGAAGACATGAAAGGCACATGATCACAAAAATCTTACCCCCATATTCAATAAAGGAATGTCAAAAGAACAAAATCATTTCCTATAAAAACAACAAATCTATGCAAATTGAATGGAATAGCATGAGAAATGGCACAAAGAAAACAATTAAAGCTATAAAAGAAACACGGATATAGTACATTTTTTCTCATGGCATGGTCACAAACAAACAAATAATTTTTCTAATTAAATATCGGAAAATTTTTTTATGAAAGCCAATAAATGAATACATAAAAGAGATAACAAGAAATGATTTATAACGATGCTACAAAGAGGCCTAATAAAAACATGCAAACCTACAAAACGAACAAAGAAGAAGAATACAATGGTGGCATCACGCAGATGGGGAGTGATGGCAAGACAATAGGGAGGACTCGCCTAATAGTAGAGTGTGAGGTGCGAAAGGAAAAGCCTAAACAAAAAAGATAAAGAAAACCAAGAGAGAGAAAAGGAAAAGTATTTTCAAGAAGAAATAAGAAGGATTTTTTCAAAAAAACGAAAAAAATGAAAATATCAATAGCGTAGAATGCACAATTCTAATATAAAAAATAGCATAAATATGTTATGCCAGCCAAATGCTCATGCGAGCATAAGTGGAACACAAAGATGCAACATATCTTTTTTTTATTCTAATTAAACCAGTTTATCAAAGAGTTACCTAAATTTAAGTTAAAGATAAAACAAGTATACGGGATAAAGTGCAAACAATGAACCGCATTGAAGGACCATAGAAATCAAATTTTTAGTAAGGAAAAGACACGACCTATCATTTTCTTGAAATTACCAAGCAAGAAAAAAAGAGTCAAAATAATGGAAAGTTAATTGTTTTAAACAAAACCAATTGCTTATCCAATTAGCATCCGGACTCGTCTAATTGACATGAAATATCAAGGTAAACTGCTTCTAATGAACAAGGTGCATATAAAATCTATAACAAGATCAGAGTTGTCACTGTATTTTTTTAATTTTCTCCAATCTTAAACAACACAAGAAAAATTAAACGTATTTAGATATGAAAACATCCGAAAAATCACCGTGTTTTTCCGTCAAGCACAATTAAGCTCTTCTATTGATGTCTATCACCAACACTCACCGCCAAGCTTTGGCCAACACAGTAAACGCGAATCAAATTGGCTATCTACTAACACACGACTCAACTTATTCCGTGGTATGTTTTTAATGGGATGGTCGGACATATGCAATCCTCTAGGGAGATGTGTAAGCATTCCGGAGTTCAGCTTTGTTATGCGAGTTATGAAAGGGCAAAGGTAATGGGGAGTTTCGACGAACCAAGAGCAAAAATGCAGCCTACCATTCTTTATTATTCAAAGTGAACCAAGCCCATAAATAGCACTATAGCATCTACATGTTAAAGGATAACGATATATAATCCGAAGATATGAAATGCACATGATCACTAAAATCTTACCACCATATTCAATAAAGGAATATTAAAAGAACCAAATCATTTCCTATAAAAACAACAAATCTATGCAAATTGAATGGAATAGCATGAGAAATGAAGCAAAGAACACAATTAAAGCTATAAAAGAAACACGGATATAGCACATTTTTTCTCATGGCATGGTTACAAACAAACCAACGATTTTTCTTATTAAATATCGAAAAAAATTTATGAAAGCCAATAAATAAATTCATAGAAGAGATAACAAGCAATGATTTATAACGATACTACAAAGAGGCCCACTAAAAACATGCAAACCTACAAAACGAACGAGAGATGAAGAATACAATAACGAGCATCACACAAGTGGGGAGTGATGGCAAGAGAATAGGGAGGATTACCTAATAGTAGAGTGTGAGGTGTGTAAGGAAAAGCCTAAACAAAAAAGATAGAGAAAACCAAGTAACGAGAGAATGAAAAGACAAAGTATTTCAAGAATAAATGAGAAGGATTTTTTCAAAAAACGAAAGAAAATAGAAATATCAATAACGTAGAATGCACAATTCTCATACAAAAAATAGCTTAAATATATTATGCCGACCAAATGCTCATGCAGTCATAAGTGGAACACAAAAATGCAACATATCTTTTTTTTATTCTAATTAAAACGAGTTCATCAAAGAGCTATCCAAATTTAAGTTAAAGAGAAAACAATGTGCGGGATAAAGTGCAAACAGTGAACCGCATTGAAGGACCATAGAAATCAAATTTTCGGTAAAGAAAGAGCACGACCTATCATTTTCTTGAAATTAGCTAGCAAGCAACAAAAAAGCCAAAACAATTGAAAGTCAATTGTTTTTTTTAAAAAAATCAATTGCTTATCCAATTAGTATCCGAACTGTCTAATTGACATGAAATATTAAGGTAAAACTACTTCTAATGAACAAGGTGCATATAAAATCTACGACAAGGTTTGGTCGTTAGTCGTACTTTTTTTATTTTTTTCTAATCTTAAACACCACAAGGAAATTAGACGTATTTAGATATGAAAACATCTAAAAAATCACCATGTTTTTCTCATCAAGCACAATTAAGCTCTTCTATTGATGTCTATAACTAACACGCACGACCAACCTTTGGCCAACACGAGTAAAAGTGAATCAAATTTGCTATCTTCTAACAAACGACTCAACTTATTTCATAGTATGTTTTTAATAGGATGGCCGGACATATGTATGCCTCTAGGGAGATGTGTAAGTATTCCGGAGTTCAGCTTTGTTATGCGAGTTATGAAAGAGCAAAGATAATGGGGAGGTTCAAAGAACCAAGAGCAAAAATGCAGCATGCCATTCTTTATTATTCAAAGTGAACCAAGCCCGTAAATAGCACTATGGCATGTATATGTTAAAGGATAACGCTATATTATCCTAGGACATTAAAGACACATTATCCCTAAAATCTAACCACCATACTCAATAAAGGAATATCAAAAGAACCAAATCATTTCCTATAAAAACAACAAATCTATGTAAATTGAATGGAATAGCATGAGAAATGAAGCAAAGAACACAATTAAAGCTATAAAAGAAACACGGATATAGCACATTTTTTCTCATGGCATGGTTACAAACAAACCAACAATTTTTCTTATTAAATATCGAAAAAAATTTATGAAAGCCAATAAATAAATGCATAGAAGAGATAACAAGCAATGATTTATAACGATACTACAAAGAGGCTCACTAAAAACATGCAAACCTACAAAACGAACAGAGATGAAGAATACAATAATGGCATCACACAAGTGGGGAGTGATGGCAAGACAATAGGGAGGACTACTTAACAGCAGAGTGTGAGGCGCGTAAGGAAAAGCCTAAACAAAAAAGATAGAGAAAACCAAGTAACGAGAGAATGAAAAGGCAAAGTATTTTCGGGAATAACCGAGAAGGATTTTTTCAAAAAACGAAAGAAAATAAAAATATCAATAATGTAGAATGCACAATTCTAATATAGAAAATAGCTTAAATATGTTATGTCGGCCAAATGCTCATGCAATCATAAGTGGAACACAAAAATGCAACATATCTTCTTCTTTTTTTATTCTAATTAAAACAAGTTCATCAAAGAGCTATCCAAATTTAATTTAAAGAGAAAACAATGTGCGGGATAAAGTGCAAACCGCTAACCGCATCGAAGGACCATAGAAATCAAACTTTCGGTAAAGAAAGGGCACGACCTATCATTTTCTTGAAATTAGCAAGCCAAGCAACAAAAAGCCAAAACAATGGAAAATCAATTGATTTTTTTGAAAAATCAATTGCTTATCCAATTAGTATCTGGATCGTCTAATTGACATGAAATATCAAGGTAAACTACTTCTAACGAACAAGGTGCATATAAAATCTGTAGCAAGGTCAAGTCGTCAATCTGTACTTTTTTAATTTTCTCTAATCTTAAACACCACAAGAAAATTAGACGTATTTAGATATGGAAACATCCGAAAAATCACCATGTTTTTTTGTCAGCATAATTAAGCTCTTCTATTGATGTCTATCACCAACACTCATAGCCAAGCTTTGGCCAACACGAGTAAAAGTGAATCAAATTTGCTATCTCCTAACACACGACTCAACTTATTTCGCAATATGTTTTTAATGGGATGGCTGGACATATACATGCCTATAGGGAGATGTGTAAGTATTCCGGAGTTCGGTTTGTTATGCGAGTTATGAAAGAGCAAAGGTAATGGAGAGGTTCAAAGAACCAATAGCAAAAATGCAGCATGCCATTCTTTATTATTCAAAGTGAACCAAGCCCATAAATAGCACTATGGCATGTATATGTTAAAGGATAACGATATATAATCCACGGACATTAAAGACACATGATCAATAAAATCTTACCACCATATTCAATAAAGGAATGTCAAAAGAACCAAATCATTTCCAATAAAAACAACAAATCTATGCAAATTGAATGGGAATAGCATGAGAAATGGCACAAATAACACAATTAAAACTATAAAAGAAACACACATATAATATATTTTTTCTCATGGCTTGGTTACAAACAAAACAACAATTTTTGTAATTAAATATCAAAAAAAATTTATGAAAGCCAACAAATGAATGCATAGAAGAGATGACAAGCAATGATTTATAACGATGCTACAAAGATGCAAATCTACAAAACGAACAAAGAAGAAGAATACAATGGTGGAATCACACAATGGAGAGTGATGCCAAGACAATAGGGAGAACTACCTAACAACAGAGTGAGGTACGAAAGGAAAAGCCTAAACAAAAAAGATAGAGAAAACCAAGTAACGGAGAATGAAAAGGCAAAGTATTTTCAGGAATAAATGAGAAGGATTTTTTAAAAAAAACGAAAGGAAATAGAAATATCAATAACGTAGAATGCACAATTCTAATACAAAAAATAGCTTAAATATGTTATGTCGGCCAAATGCTCATGCAAGCATAAGTGGAACACAAAACTGCAACATGTCTTTTTTTTATTATTCTAATTAAAACGAGTTCATCAAAGAGCTATCCAAATTTAAGTTAAAGAGAAAACAATGTGCAAGATAAAATGCAAACAACGAACCGCATTGAAGGACCATAGAAATCAAATTTTCAATAAGGAAAGGGCATGACCTATCATTTTCTTCAAATTAGCAAGCAAGCAACAAAAAAGCCAAAACAATGAAAAGTCAATTGATTAAAAAAAAATCAATTACTTATCCAATTAGTATCCGAACCGTCTAATTGACATGAAATATCAAGATAAACTACTTCTAACAAACAAGGTGCATATAAAATCTACAAGCAAGGTCAAGCTATCAATCGTACTTGTTTTAATTTTCTCTAATCTTAAACACCAAAAGGAAAATTAGACGTATTTAGATATGAAAACATCCGAAAAATGACCATGTTTTTCCGTCAAGCACAATTAAGCTCTTCTATTGATGTCTATCACTAACACGCATAGCCAAGCTTTGGCCAACACGAGTAAAAGTGAATCAAATTTGCTATCTACTAACACACAACTCAACTTATTCCGTGGTATGTTTTTAATGAGATAGCAGGACATATGCATGCCTCTAAGGACATGTGTAAGCATTCCGGAGTTCGGTTTGTTATCCGAGTTATGAAAAAGCAAAGGTAATGGGGAGGTTCGACGAACTAAGAGCAAAAATACAGCATGCCATTCTTTATTATTCAAAGTGAACCAAGCCCATAAATAGCACCATGGCATGTACATGTTAAAGGATAACGATATATAATCCAAAGACATGAAAGACACATGATCTCTAAAATCTTACAACCATATTCAATAAAGGAATGTCAAAAGAACCAAATCACTTACTACAAAAACAACAAATCTATGCAAATTGAATGGAATAGCATGAGAAATGGCACAAAGAACACAATTAAAGCTATAAAAGAAACACAAATATAGTTTTTCTAATTAAATATCAAAAAAAATTTATGAAAGCCAATAAATGAATACATAGAAGAGATAACAAGCAAGGATTTATAACGATGCTACAAAAGGCCGAATAAAAACATGCAAACTTACAAAACGAACAAAGAAGAAGAATACAATGGTGGAATCACATAGTGGGGAGTGATGGCAAGACAAATAAGGAGGACTACCTAACGACAGAGTGTGAGGTGCGAAAGGAAAAGCCTAAACAAAATAGACAAAGAAAACCAAGTAACAGAGAAAGAAAAGGCAAAGTATTTTCGGGAAGATATAAGGACTTTTTCAAAAAACGAAGAAAAATGCAAATATCAATAGCGTACAATGCACAATTCTAATATAAAAAATAGCTTAAATATGTTATGCCGGCCAAATGCTCATGCGAGCGTAAGCGGAACACAAAGATGGAACACGTCTTTTTTTTTTAATTTTAATTAAAATAGTTCATCAAAGAGCTACCCAAATTTAAGTTAAAGAGAGAACAATGTGTAGGATAAAGTCCAAACAATGAACCGCATCGAAGGACCATAGAAATCAAATTTTCAATAAGGTAAAGACACGACCTATCATTTTCTTGAAATTATGAAGCAAGCAACAAAAAAGCCAAAACAATGAAAAGTCAATTGTTTAAATAAAAAAATCAATTGCTTTTCCAATTAGCATTGGACCTGTCTAATTGACAAGAAATATCGAGGTAAACTACTTCTAACGAACAAGGTGCATATAAAATCTATAACAAGGTCAAGTCGTTAGCTATATTTTTTTAATTTTCTCTAATCTTAAACACCACAAGGAAAATTCGAAACATTTAGATCCGAAAAAATCCGAAAAATCACTATGGTTTTTTGTCAGCACAATTAAGCTCTTCTATTGATGTCTACCACCAACACTCACCGCCAAGCTTTAGCCAACACATGTAAAAGTGAATCAAATTGGCTATCTACTAACACACGATTCAACATATTCCGTGGTATGTTTTTAATGGGATGGCTGGACTTATCCATGCCTCTAAGGAGATGTATAAGCATTCCGGAGTTTAGTTTGTTGTGCGAGTTATGAAAGAGCAAAGGTAATTGAGAGGTTCGACAAACTAAGAGCAAAAATACAGCATGCCATTCTTTATTATTCAAAGTGAAATAGGCCCATAAATAGCACTATGGCATGTATATGTTCAAGGATAACGATATAAAATCCGAAGACATGAAAGGCACATGATCACTAAAATCTTACCACCATATTCAATAAAGGAATGTCAAAAGAACCAAATCATTTCCCATAAAAACAATGAATCTATGCAAATTGAATGGAATAGCATGAGAAATGGCACAAAGAACACAATTAAAGCTATAAAAGAAACACGGATATAGCACATTTTTTCTCATGGCATGGTTACAAAAAAACCAACAATTTTTCTAATTAAATATCGAAAAAAATTTATGAAAGCCAATGAATGAATGCATAGAAGAGATAACAAGCAATGATTTATAACGATGCTACAAAGAGGCTCAATAAAAACATGCAAACCTACAAAGCGAACGAGAGAAGAAGAATACAATGGTGGAATCATGTAGTGGGAAGTGATGGCAAGACAATAGGGAGGATTACCTAACAGCAGAGTGTGTGGTGCGGAAGGAAAAGCCTAAACAAAAAAGACAATATTTTCAAGAAGAAATAAGAAGGATTTCTTCAAAAAACGAAGAAAACTGAAAATATCAATAGCATATAATGCACAATTCTAATATAAAAAATAGCTTAAATATGTTATGGCGACCAAATGCTCATGTAAGCATAAGTGAAGCACAAAAATGCAACATGGCTTTTTTTTATTCTAATTAAAACGAGTTCATCAAAGAGCTACCCAAATTTAAGTTAAAGAGAAAACAAGTATGCGGGATAAATTGCAAACGACAGAACCGCATTGAATAACAATAGAAATCAAATTTTCGGTAAGGAAAGAGCACGACCTATCATTTTCTTGAAATTAGCAAGCAAGCAACAAAAAAGTCAAAAAAATGAAAAGTCAATTGTGTTTTTTAAAAAAATCAATTGCTTATCCAATTAGCATCTGGATTGTCTAATTGACATGAAATATCAAGGTAAACTACTTCTAACGAACAAGGTGCATATAAAATCTACAACAAGGTTAGGCTCTCGGTTGTATTTTTTATAATTTTCTCCAATCTTAAACACCACAAGGAAAATTAGACATATTTAAATCTGAAAAAATCTGAAAAATCACCATGTTTTTCGGTCAAGCACAATTAAGCTCTTCTATTGATGTCTACCACCAACACTCACTCGTCAAGCTTTAGCCAACACAAGTAAAAGGGAATCAAATTGGCTATCTACTAACACACGATTCAACTTATTCCGTGGTATGTTTTTAATGGGAAGGCTAGACATATGCATGCCTTTAGGGAGATGTGTAAGCATTCCGGAGTTCATTTTGTTATGCGAGTTATGAAAGAGCAAAGGTAATGTGGAGGTTTCACGAACTAAGAGCAAAAATGCAGCATGCAATTCTTTATTATTCAAAGTGAACCAAGCCCATAAATAGCACTATGGCATGTATATGTTAAAGGATAACGATATATAATCCGAAGACATGAAAGACACATGATCACTAAAATCTTACCACCATATTCAATAAAGGAATGTCAAAAGAACCAAATCATTTCCTATAAAAACAACAAATCTATGCAAATTGAATGGAATAGCATGTGAAATGGCACAAAGAACACAATTAAAGCTATAAAAGAAACACATATATAGTACATTTTTTCTCATGGCATGGTTACAAACAAACCAACAATTTTTCTAATTAAATATCGAAAAAAATTTATGAAAGCCAATAAATGAATGCATAAAAGAGATATCAAGCAATGATTTATAACGATGCTATAAATAGGCCCAATAAAAACATGCAAACCTACAAAACGAACAAAGAAGAAGAATACAATGGTGGAATCATGCAGTGAGGAGTGCTGGCAAGACAATAAGGATGACTACCTAACAACGAGTGTGAGGTGCAAAAGGAAAAGCTTAAACAAAAAAGGCAAAGAAAACCAAGTACGAGGGAAAGAAAAGGCAAAGTATTTTCGTAAAGAAATAAGAATGATTTTTTTTCTAAAAATGAAAAAAAATGGAAATATCAATATCGTAGAATGCACAATTCTAAAATAAAAATAGCTTAAATATGTTATGCCGGCCAAATGCTCATGCGAGCATAAATGGAACACAAAGATGCAACATGTCTTTTTTTTATTCTAATTAAAACAATTCATCAAAGAGCTACCTAAATTTAAGTTAAAGAGAAAATAGTATGCGGAATAAAGTGTAAATAGTGAACTCGCATTGAAGAATCATAGAAATCAAATTTTCGGTAAGGAAAGGGCACGACCTATCATTTTCTTGAAATTAGCAAGCAAGCAACAAAAAACCCAAAATAATGAAAAGTCAATTGTTTTTAAAAAAATCAATTGCTTATCCAATTAGCATCCGGACCCTCTAATTGACATGAAATACCAAGGTAAACTACTTCTAACAAATAAGATGCAAATAAAATCTATAGCAAGGTCGAGTCGTCAGTTGTACTTTTTTTAATTTTCTCCAATCTTAAACCCCACAACGAAAATTAGATGTATTTAGATCCGAAGACATATGAGAAATCACCATGTTTTTCCGTCAAGCACAATTAAGCTTTTCTATTGATGTCTATCACCAACACTCACCGCCAAGCTTTGGCCAACACGAGTAAAAGTGAATCAAATTGGCTATCTACTAACACACGACTCAACTTATTCCGTGATATGTTTTTAATGGGATGGCTGGACATATGAATGCCTCTAGGGAGATATGTAAGCATTCCGGAGTTCGGCTTTGTTATGCGAGTTATGAAAGAGCAAAGGTAATGGGGAGGTTCGACAAACCAAGAGCAAAAATGCAGCATGCCATTCTTTATTATTCAAAGTGAACTAAGCCCATAAATAGCACTATGGCATGTACATGTTAAAGGATAACGATATATAATCCGAAAACATGAAAGGCACATGATCACTAAAATCTTACCACCATATTCAATAAAGGAATGTCAAAAGAACAAAATCATTTCCTATAAAAACAAAAAATCTATGCAAATTGAATGGAATAGCATGAGAAATGGCACAAAGAACACAATTAAAGCTATAAAAGAAACACGAGATATAATACATTTTTTCTCATGGCATGGTTACAAACAAACCAACAATTTTTCTAATTAAATATAAAAAAAAATTTATGAAAGCCAATAAATGAATGCATAGAAGAGATAACAACCAATGATTTATAACGATGCTACAAAGAGGCCCAATAAAAACATGCAAACTCGCAAAACAAACAGAGAAGAAGAATGCAATGGTGGAATCACGCAGATGGGGAGTGATGGCAAGACAATAGGGAGGACTACCTAACAGCAGAGTGTGAGAGAAAAGGCAAAGTATTTTTCGAGAAGAAATAAGAAGGATTTTTTCAAAAAACCAAGAAAAATAGAAATATCAATAACGCAGAATGCACAATTCTAATATAAAAAATAGCTTAACTATGTTATGTCGGCCAAATGCTCATGTCGGCATAACTGGAACACAAAGATGCAACATGTCTTTTTTTTTATTCTAATTAAAACGAGTTCATCAAAGAGCTATCTAAATTTAAGTTAAAGAGAAAACAAGCATGCAAGATAAAGTGCAAAAAGCGAACCGCATTGAAGGACCATAGAAATCAAATTTTCGTAAAGAAAAGGGCACGACCTATCATTTTCTTGAAATTAACAAGCAAGCAACAAAAAAGCCAAAATAATGGAAAGTCAATTGTGTAAAAAAAAATCAATTGCTTATCCAATTAGCATTTGACTCGTCTAATTGACATGAAATATCAAGGTAAACTACTTCTAATGAACAAGGTGCATATAAAATCTACAACAAGGTCAGTCGTCAACCGTATTTTTTTAATTTTCTCCAATCTTAAACACCACAAGGAAAATTAGACGGATTTAGATCCGAAGATATCCGAAAAATCACCATGTTTTTCCGTCAAGCACAATTAAGCTCTTCTATTGATGTCTATCACCAACACTCATTGCCAATTTCATCGCCAAGCTTTGGCCAACACAGTAAAAGTGAATCAAATTGGCTATCTACTAACACACGACTCAACTTATTCCGTGGTATGTTTTTAATGGGATGGCTGGACATATGCATGCCTCTAGGGAGATGTGTAAGCATTCCGGAATTCATTTTCTTTAATTATCAAGTTTATGTGAAACAAGAACAGTGGATCACCTGCAGCTTAGTGTTGGATTGCTAAAAAGACTCCAAGTGGTCGCTATGATTCTCAAATAATATGATCTCAAAGTGTTTTCAATATCTAGAGAAATAAAACGATTCTACATCAAAACAAAACCAACGAGATAAGAAAACAAAAATTTATTGAACAGTTGTAAATGAATGAAACTCGTATACTTGATACTAAATCAAAACATTAATTTCTTGCACTTCGGAGCTATAATTACAAGAATTATATTTGTAATTTGTTTATCATGATATACTGCTGAAAAATATGATGTTATATTGAAAATTATGATTCTAAGCATTTGAAAATATTGGACCCTATCGCTTGCATGAATGGCAAGTGTAGACCGAGTGTTGTCTCTCTTACACTACCCACACATACACTTTTAGAGTAGAATGAATATCAAGAATTTGGAACCCATTATGAAATAGATCCCATTAAAAAATTCAAAAACTCGGAGAAAATTTGTTTGTATAGATAATGTCGGATGTTTTATTTGAACATCCTTCGCAACTTGTAATTGTTTTTTTCTTATACATGCATTCATCGCCTAACACCTAAAATGCAAAGCCAATTAACAAAAAACTTTGATTCATAAAAACCGTGATGAAATTTTTTTAAGAATTTTTCTTTGGAGAAATTTGAATTGATTGGCACAAGAAATATTTTCCTTCTCCAAACTCTAGCTAATTGAAGAGAAGTTTTATTTTCTATGAAAAAAGAAATGAGATCAGCTTGTTGTAGTAAAATCATGTTATCCTCGGGAAAATCGTTAAATATTCACATCTTACTTACATTTGAAAAAAAACAGGTAGATCTCTATTCCGGATAGGAAGACTTCTAGCAACTACCAAACTAGGTGACTTTTCCATTGTAATGTGGACGAAATAGAAAGTTGCCAAGTTATCAACAATCAATACACACTGCAATAGAAAAGAAAATAATCGAAAGACCGCCAGCATGGACATAACTATACTACTTCCGGATGGAACATCTTGTTATTTGAACAAAATTTAACACCGATTTATAATCCTCAAGTCTTTGTGAAGAGTTGCCAACATAGGATGGATTACGGAGTCCATGATGGACACTAAAAATGACAAGAGTAAGAGACCCGTAAATGTTACACCGACTTGTAATGAGATTATAAAATTAGAAGATTTAAGTCTTGACTCAATGGATCCAATAACACAAGTAAAGGTGCTAGAATGTAGACCCAAAAAGAAAGCCGAATGATTGTTCAAGAGCACTTACAAGACCGCAAAGTAGGCCGGAGTGAGCTAAAGACAAGGAAAAAAGAAAACCTTAAACATTTCATATACATTCTTTCTGATATGAATAATCAAACATGCTATAAGAAATGCAATCATACATTATTAAATGCAACGTAATCAAGAAAATGTATGTTAAAAGTTAGCTAAAAACATTTGTGCGAGTTCAAGAAAATGAAAGGTAAACGGTTGTAGTTTACAATTTAAGAAAATACCACATTAGAAGTTTTGGCTTACAAGTTGAAATCACTATAAGGAGAGGAGAGAAGGCAAAACTGGAAGACCTTTGAAAAATCAAAATCAAATATCAATATAGAAGAGAACAATGAAATAACAAGTATAAATCACTTGTGATCCAAATAAGGAACACAAAGAAAAGGTCTTTCCAAACGAGGAACATAGAACTCCGATGCAATGCATTAACATAATATGGTGCTTAACAAGAAAGTAGAACTTGTAATGAAAAGGAGTGGAATCAACTCGTTTTTAACAAAACATGGGGAAATAAATTTACAGATCAATGGAAAATAACAATTCGGATCTCTAGGACTTCTATGCCTTTTGTGATGGAAAATCCTACCGAACACAGTAGAAATAGCTCTGGGATTATCAAGATATCCAACTTGTAAATAATACAACAAACAGACCTTCCCATGCTAATGAAATGTAATAATAATCGATCTTTAATACACCGCATGTATATATATATATATAAGGATTTTGTTAATCCGTATGCTTGAAAGTCCGAAATCAAAGGCAATGCCTACCTTTCTAAAAGCCCATATATCATCCAAAGAAATTGGTAATATCGTCTTCGAATAGCATCAAGAACATCTTTAAATGTAGCATCGCCATAATATTCAACAACACCAAAGTTGATAAAATTTCCGAGCAACACTATCACACGTAATACAAGCAACTATGTAATGTGGCCTCAACATATAATTAGGAGATCAACTCGAAAATAAGAAGGAAAAAGGAGGAAAGTTAGTCGAGAAAAAGATTTTACAATACGCTAGCTAAAATAATTTCGAACAACTGCCACTACACAAACCACAAAATGTCACCATCAAATGAATCGGAAAATTTCTTCATTAAACATGCATAGAAGACAGTGATTATCAAACATAATGTTCACTCTCTCTTACAGAGCTTAGATAAAATAATGAACCTTGTTGCACTTGTTACCGGCATGAATTTAGTCGTAAAGTACAAGTAAGCGTCCCTTTTAATACCTTCTCATGCATTAAATTTTCCACAAATTACATAATTTGTTATCCTCATCAAGTATGCATGTAGCATTAGATCCTATGTTAGACAAAACTTATGTATGGACTATCCATGCCACCATCATTCTTTTAGTGCTCATTCTCCATCCCTAGTCACACAATAATTTTCCTCTCGATTCCATAATTGATTAGATATAAGTACTAGCATTAGACCCACAACCAAGCAGAGCCGTGTCATTGAAGGATTGCATAACAATAAGAACCCCTAACTTCAACATGTCAACCTTGTTCATCGTGCACAAGGAATTATTGGCACGCATGCTATTAAATAGAAATGCCATGAACAAATTTGAAAATGAAAGAATAATAATTTGAATGCATACATCCAATAACAATACTTAAACAGATGCTAATTCCCTTGTATTTAGAGGTGCATAAGTCTACTTGGTGGGCAAGAGACAATATTTGATCCATAAGCTACAATCACCTCGTCGCCTTCTCGAAAAAGTATCGAGCCATTAGGAGATGATGAACAAAAAGTCATTCCTTGGAATTGTTCCGCACCATGTCGCAATAAATTTCATCAATGGAATTGTTACCTCCATGATTTTTTATTTTTGGTTTTTGGTTTTTGTGCTCGTTTTCATCCAAACATATAAAGAGAAATATTTTACTTGCTCAAAATGGACAGAGGATGCTCCTAGTATATAAAGTTTCTGCAAGTGGGAAAAGGAATAATAGATAAGTGCCCATTTTTACTGTTTTCTTAAGCAAAAGATATAGGGTAGTTATCCTTTTTGAAGATTTTGGAAATATTGGCAATAGGAAGGATGACCAACTCGTTGACATGGCAAACGAGGGATAAGGGTGCAAGAAGGATGAAAATACTTTTTGTTGAATGAAACTGCAGCTTTGTCTTAGATTTCACCAGACAGGACATTAGTCGTGGAGGGTATTTTTGCACTAAGTTTGTCTCATGAAGAAAAGAATGAAAAAATAGAGAGTATGGTTGATGAATTTGAAAAATCACAAGCAAATCAGAATATGCTATGCATTGTTGACTCTATGGTTAGCTAGACTAGCCCTTTAAAGAACAATATCCTTGTTTCGTACCATTTAGAGTGGGCGTAATGAAAAGCTTTCAAGAGCACCTAGCATTTTTGTTATCAAACCGAAGACAGGAATTTTGAAGACTTCACCGAGCATTTTTATCATCAAACCGAATATAGGAATTTTGAAGACTTCATTTTTCTCGCTTTATTTAACTCCATTGATTCTTTTGGACAATTTACCTAAAATTTTATGTTTCGATTTTCTTTACTCGTCTAACTTTGTAAGTACCACCTTATAGACCGAGCTATTAGAACCGAACCCTTGTTTTTTTTACTCTTCATATCCCACTCTTTCATGGTCTTATGATTTTATCATTCGGTATTATTACATGCTCTTCATTCTTGAATTAATTAGGAATTATTTTTAACATAACAAGATCCAAGTACAAATCGAAATATTTTTGACACACTTAGATATTTTAAAAGTCATTGGCTTATTTATTCCATTAGTTTTAATCGAAACCTCATAAATAACCCTAAAACAACATCAATCACAATATTTTTTTGTTGATATTATTATTATTATTATTTTAATTACAAATGACGAATTATGCAAACTTAATAAAATATGTCGGATATATAGACGGATAATTGTCTTATGCATTAATTTGCTCGGTTGCTCACATTACCTCTGTGGTTTCGGACAAATGCGCAATGGCTTTGGATAGAAGTAGTATGTGTTATGGACAAAGAAATTCAAAAAGGAAGCCATATTTTATAGAATTAAAAACACAAGAAAGTTAGAAAGAAATGAAACAACGAAGCAGGCAAAGGAAAAGAAGGAAACAAACCAAAATTTATAAAGCATATGCAAAGATTAGTTACTACAACATGATTATCAATCTAATTGTGGCCATTGCTAGTCCTCTAAGGTCCCTCATCAACCCAATCAATGCATATTTTAGTGATTCCAAGCAAAACATTGCACCGTGTACAGATTCCATACAGGATAAAGTGTATAGGGCAAAATGATATTCCAATGTTAAAGTTAAAGATACTAAGGTCTGTCTTAATAAAAGCTTAATACAAGCAAAAGATGTAAAATTGTCTCATTCATATCCAACAAAAAAGATAGTTACTTTTTAAAGCACGAAATATGTATGAGAAGAAAATTCGATGAGCTAGCACTATTTATCAATTAATATTCTACTCGTTTTACGATTCACCTCGCTAGATATTTATTATTACCATGTTCTCCTCCCTTCCATATATCCGAAACTAAAAAAATGCTGATCTAAATAAAACAAGTACGAACCAAGAGCTATAACGCATCTTTAAGCAAAATAACGTAGAATTATGACCGACCTTGTTGCCACTTCGAAGAAGATACTTAAGGTATCATTGATTGCCTTATTGCTCCGCAAATAGGAACGTTGTTGACATTAAATGAATTTCAAGAGAAAGAAATTTGAATAAGGTATGCATTACCACATCCAAGTATGCCCGAAGAATTAAGGCAATTTTTTGAATAACATATTCCAATAGTTTTATGTGATCATCAATCCCCGAACGCTCACATGATTAGGTATAAAAATGCTACAGTCGGCCCAAGCACTCGCAAATAATCTAACCCATCAAGTGGCCTCCCTCCACCTTACCTCTATAACACGATTCTCATGAAAATCATCATCTTCTTCGTCGATCATCTCATCATTATAGTCACCTCCCAAACCAGCATCATCATGGTCTTCCAGATCGGTGTCGCAAGAGACATCATACCAGCACCATCTTTAGCCATATCCTCATCATCATCCTCATCCTCTCACCATCATCTCCCATGTCATCGTCCTCATCACCCATATCATCATCGACTCTGTTCTCAACATGAAAAGTCATCTCAATTTGGTCGTTGTTGTGTAACCCACCACCTTCTTCCATTTCTTCACGCATGAAATCCATTCCTATCTCCATTTATGGGTTGGTTGCCATTGTATCTTCCGATTCGATCCTCATGTTTTGCTCCGTCGACCGATTTTGATGTGCAAGCACAACTACCCTCAACACGAGGAGTTCCTTGTCGTTGTCGAATGTCAATCTCCTCCTCATCCGGGACTTCGTGCGTGCCACCAATACTCCGATTATGCTCTATGGTCTCCGCAACGGATGCAGCCTTTGTTCATCATGTCTCTCACTTGATACCGTAGTTTTCTTCTTATTCCGACCCTCGCATTTAATAACTTGCTCACTAGCATTGGCGACCCTCGACAAGCTTTGACTCCGAATACTAGTTTGGTGGTTCTCCTAAGTTATTACCCGAATACTCGGATTGGTGATGCTCCTTAGTTGTATATTGCAACAAATGTAGTGATTGCACACCAACCCCGATTAACCCCCACACACACACCAAGAAGAAAAAATAAAAGGAAATTGGCACACCATTGTAGTTGAAAGTTGCAAATATTAGCAAACCCATTATATAAGCATCTCCAATTTTGGCCTCGGCCCATACGAAAAACTATCCCAAAGATCAACACCTATAAGCTTCGAGTCTACTTGCAACATAAAAATATATGGTTGATATACTCAACTGCTTCATTCCACATAAAACGTCTATTTACCCTTCTAGAATGTAAATCTACCGATTGTTAAAATCCTACTTTGCTAAACTATGATCGGCTATCATGTTAGGATATAGCCGTATTCCTGACCCCATCTTCTTCCCGCATTGCAAATGCAAAAAAGAAAAACAAAGAAGACACTAGAGGAAATTAGGGTCAAGCCATCTATATTATTCATCCGAATAAAAACCCACCAAAGCCGCTTATTTGCAGTACAAATTCTAAACTAATACCTTCATCCCATCAACTCCCGAATGTTTTTAAGAGTATTTAACAACACCCTAACCCCTAATTCAATGAATAGCTTTAAAATCATCCTTTGTATCTCCCCATTTTGAACCTCTTCTAGAATTTTCATACAGAGAAAACAATGAGAGAAAGGGCTATAAACAAATAGATCGAAAGATGTACTTCTAAGAACAATGAGCCTCCCCATTGTCTCAACTTGATCACATGCAGTATCACCATCTCCAATTTCCATGCAATCAAGACCATTTGGGGTACTGTTCGCAGAAATTGGTTGAACTAACATAGGCTCATCCACCCGTAGACCTTCACTCGCACCATTGAATGAAGACCGAGGATCAACGGTTGGATTGGGCCGATAGTGGGTAACTTCATTGCCATTTTCTCGTCGAAGTCAGCTTGCCGACCGCCGGTGTTATCACCATCCACCACTAGTTGACCATCATTGGATAGAGGATCATCGCATGGTTGATTCTCCCGCACTCCCGAATTCTAGGACTGCCTCTAAATGGGACCATTGGTTGTAGGTACACCGCACAGCTGCGACAGAACTGTTCCTCTATTGCTTGTGCAATTGCAGCAGCTTGGGCACTCGCTCGCGGCCGACCATCATCGATCCACTCGCCATCACCAGCCCTCTTCGTCCCCGTGTATGCAACGTGTCCATACCTACAAAATAATCGTACAAAGGTGGGGGTCCTGCAAGCATCCGAACGATCACCAAATATACTACTAGGTACACGTTCATAAGGAAGAACATGAGCATCAAACATGTTAAAGCGGAGCTACATCAAAGCTCCCGCATGACAAAGCTTCTAAATCCCCGGATGAATGCCCACCCGATGACCACATAGAAACCGCATCCCCCGACCGGGATGGCCTCGACGAAGAGGATGTTGAAATCCATTTACTTCGTGACAGTCGCTCAAAGGAAGACTCGCCACTCGACACTAGCGGTCAAAACCCAAAGGCCTCGCGAAGACCGAAAAGATCATCCACATTCACCCCTTCAAATGGCTCAAGAAGAACATCAATTAGATCACTCAAGCTACAGTCGGCCCAGCACTCGCAAATTATCTAACCCATCAATGGCCTCCCTCCACCTTACCTCTATAACACGATTCTCATGAAAATCATCATCTTCTTCGTCGATCATTTCATCATTATAGTCATCTCCCGAGCCGCATCATCATGTTCTTCCGGATCGGTGTGAGCAAGAGACATCATACCAAGCACCATCTTTAGCAATATCCTCATCATCATCCACATCCTCCTCACCATCATCACCCATATCATCATCACCTCGTTCTCAACATGAAAAGTCATCTCAATTTGGTCGTTGTTGTGTAACCCACCACCTTCTTCCATTTCTTCACGCATGAAATCCATTCCTATCTCCATTTATGGGTTGGTTGCCATTGTATCTTCCGATTCGATCCTCATGTTTTGCTCTGTCGATCGATTTTGATGTGCAAGCACGGCTACGCTCAACATGAGGAGTTCCTCGTCGTTGCCGAATGTCGGCCTCCTCCTCATCCGGGACTTCGTGCGTGCCACCAATACTCTCGATTATGCTCTATGGTCTCCGCAAAGAAATGCAGCTTTGTTCATCATGTCTCTCACTTGACACCGTAGTTTTCTTCTTATTCGTACCCTCGCATTTAATAACTTGCTCACTAGCATTGGCCGCCCTCGACTGTGCTTTCCAAAGGACCAAAGCCTTCAATAGAAGATTAACAATTTTAGGAGCATCGGGATGGTCCAAATCAATCACTTGAAGAATGCCAGCAAGAGATCGCACCATTCCTCCATCTATCATGCTTTTTGTCGTATCCCAGTGAGCATCCGTAACTGTGTAAGTGGTCGGAGGATGCATTTTTAGACAAAATTGAATATACCGGATCGTAAAAGGCAAAAACCTTTTTATCGTGCAACAAAATGTTTTTATGTGAATTGCTCTCCGAGTTTGAAAATCTGGATGCATTCTTCAACGACTCGAAGCTTTTGATCCGTCCTTTTCCTTCTCTTTTCCTTCGATAACACCACAAAAGTCCCCGCTCCCGATGACTCCAATCGACAACCGCAGCAGAAGCTTTCATAAAAACCACAGGATCTCCGGAGATAACAAGTGCCATAGACGTCAAAAATGTCCTTGGGGAAATATGCCCAAGCATGGCGATTTCAGCTCAAAGTTTGCCGTATCTCCAATTCCATAGCAAGCTATGCAGAGCTCGAGGATCTTCAAGGAGGTGCCGAATTATGGCAACACGCAATGTTGTCATATCCAGTGGAAGAAGCAACTTCTTCGAAGACTAAAGAGAGCAACCTAACCCTCCGTTTTCAAGAAATTGCAAGGCTAAAACGTGAGTTTTTGTCAAGCGAGCACATAATCGCATAATAGCTCGCATGATCACAAGCAGGGACGTGTCGTTTCATCAAGTCACAAGCAACAAGTAGTACTTTATGACTCTCTTCAATAGTCAGTAACCAGCTGACTTCCCTAATATTTTCTCAAGTGCCGCACTGCATTCTTTCTCGTGGAAGTCCGAAGCCACTTTTTCATCCATACCCGATGCCGAACCGATGCATCGGTGGAGATGAAGTCTCCCACGCATTCGAAGAGATTCGGGTCCGGATTGCAACATATTATCCAAGATGAGCAAGCAAAGCACTTATGCATTTTGGTACAAGAATTTCGCTCCCCGATGCATTTCTAGCCTTGAAATTCATCAAAACATCTCGTCGCAACGGCAACAATACCATTCTCGTGCAAGCAATTTCTCGAACAGCTCCATCCTCGAAAAGGAGCGATGCTAAAATATGTGATATCTTACACAATGCACCGGAATCCTTGGAAAAATCCAACGGCAAAGCTTTAGCCGCTCAATAAGATAAGATGCCACCTTTAGATGGTCCTCTCCTTTGTTCCGATTGCGAAGGGTCAAAAGCAAATCGTCAATGAGAATGCCATCGTATCACTAATCCGAAACAACTACACGTATGCGGCAAGAATATCTTCGACGGGAGGCACCTTCATTTGTCCTCCTTCCGTCGTGGCATCTATTGGCTTATCCACATTGTCAACTTTTGATCCTTCCGATGAACTTCCTAGTGACGACGCAAGTTGCTCGAGCCAACTCATCATCCTCCCGCACAGGATCCTCAGCATGACCGAACAGCCCACTCCATTGCCATTTCAAGCACTATTTGTTTCCACCCACCTCAATGCCTCTTCAGCTCTTGCCCTTGTAAAGCCCATCTCAACAATTGTTGCAATTGTATTTTCATCAAGCAGTGGGGGCATGAACCTTTGGTTCGTAATTCCCGTAACACCACCGCGATTCCTTTTGACATCTCCAACATCGTAGTATATGCGTGTAACAAAGTGATATAATAGAAGCAATGAAACTAGAACCGCAACTTGGAATCATCGGGTGGTTCCGCATGGGTAATATGACATCCAGACTCCGAGACCGCAAGCATGCGAACAAAGACTTCGTGGTCCTTAGGAACAGGAAATAGCCCAATTGACAAACCAACCGCAACAAGCCGAACAAGTAGCCGAGCTTGGGATGCGGAGGTCGAAGATAAAAGTAGAGAGGAGTTTACGTAGTACTCGAGCACGCGGCGAGAGGCCGTGTAAAGTGTCAAGTAGCCATGTATCGTGAGACAAATTATTTCCTTCACCTCGCCTTCTCATGGTCAACCGAGGGTGTGGGAAAAAAGTAAGGGAGTGTCCATAAAAGTTGACTTGTAGCTTCAAACGTTGCGAGAAGCTCCCTAAAGGTTCAATGTACATAAAGATTATTGACCACCGCCGCATAACAAGTGCGCCTCTTCCCGTCAAATATGAGTGCCGCCATGTCATCAACTACCTTTCCAAGATATGGGCACTTAACCGACGAGTGATGTATCAAGTCCAGCTTGTAGAATACCCGCAGAAACTTAGAGCCTCAAGAAATATTTTAGCCAAGGTGGTTCCTGTGGTCTTTGAAGCCGCACTCGACGATCCTACATCGCCCCTTCGACGGCTTGGCGACCTAAATCCCTTCACAAGGGTAGAGAAGAAAGAACCTCATCGAGAGTTCTCCTTTTCAACTTTGGCAAAGACGTCTCGCATTCATCCGATGGGATCTCGCAGTCAACACTTAAAGCATCCGAGTGCCGACCGGTCCTCCCACCGCGTATGCGTGCCAAGCCATGTCGACTACGACGTGCAAACCTTCACCCGAATGAATGATCGGAGAGAAATTCACGTTCACCACTCCAAAGGGACCGAGAACCATTCCTAACGTAAACCGGGTTCATGAATCTCACAACCGGAACATTTGCATCATCATCACCCTCTCTTCCAACAAGCATTTGATGAAGACGCATCCGCACTCTCGCCCTCGGTTCCGCATTTCTCTTTTCATCCACTTTGGAGTCATTATACAGAGAAACTTGCCAAATTATTTCCCGGTATGCCTTCCCAAGATCCTTTAACACATCAGCATCCGCAAGTGCCCAATTCCGAGACAACAAGTATTATTCCCCTCCACATTTCTTTCATTTCCATGTTTCGAATGCGAAAAACACGGAATAGAAGATGCCCAATTCTCTAATTTGAACTTCTTGGGTCTTTTAGTTGCTAAACTATTCAAATTCTCACTATTTCCTTTACAAATAGGGTAATAAGCGAACCGCAGCATGAAATATTCAAAGACATTTAATTGTACTTGATAATATAAAGAGCCTCTTCCTCTAATCGAATCTTCTTTAATCGAATCTTCTTTGATTTTCCCTTTAAGGAGAGGAAAAAGATTGTTTTAAACCCGACAATCTTTTTTGCTCGATAACATAAACCAAGCCCACTCCGGCAACCGTTCGATTAGGAACACGTATTTCACTAAAGATTGACGATCAACAGCCGAAGATTGATTGGAAAAGCACGCCGTTCGGAGAGAGGACGTTGAAAACCCTAGAAGTTAAAGCGTGGTCGTTTGCTTTGTGGATTATGTCGAGCCATCCACCGCCGCCGGATTTTTGGTCGGGCGGCGACGTGGAGTCATCGAAGCCATAGAGCTTGCAGAATAAGGTAGGGAAGGTGAGGGAGAAGAAGTGGCGGGATTGATCGGGAGGGTGAGAGTGTAAGAAAGAGTCGACGGAGGCACGGACGGAGGAGATCCGAGGAGGAGAGGATGGCTAAGGCGAGGTTTTGGGATTTGGAAAGTGGAATCCATGGTGTACGAGTGCGGGTGCATGGTCAAGGCGAGTGTAGCGGATTTTGGTTTTAGTTGCCGAGAGAGAGAGATGGGGGTTTTGCGTCCGTTTGAAAGATTTGAAAACGAAGGGGTATGGGGTGTACGTGGCGATAAATTTAAGGTATGGCGTGACGGTGATGCGTGGGGTCCGGTCGGAGGAGGTGTTTTTTTCTTTCTTTTTTCTTTCACGGTGTTTTTTTTTTTTCTAATTTTTGAGTTGAATACGACCGTGAATGATTCGTATTTGGTTTAATTTTAATTCGATTTTAATTAAAAAATTGAACCAAAATAATTTTAATTTTCTTATCTTTCATTAATTTTTGAATTTCTTTTTCATTTTTATGGTAAATCAATTTTTTATATTGTTATTTAAATTTTGATAATTTGATTTACAATATATATTGAATAATTAATATTTTTTATAGTTATATGTTTTAAATACATACTAGTTTGTGACTCGTGTATTACTGCGGGACCTAGAGTAAAGATACTCGATAAATAATATTATAAAATAAGATAATATTCATAAATAAATTTTAAATAAATTAATTGATTAATCCATAAATTCTTCAACACCAACTTATTTTTTTGTAGCGCAAATAATGTTGTGTGATGCAGAGTTGCACAAACATCATTTCTTTTATCAATAGATTTATTCATTCAACAAAAGCAATGTTCTAAAACTATGAATGTTATAATTCTTTTGATGTAATGCAACATTGAATTTGATCAAAAATTAATTTTTTCATAATCTGTGTTTTTCATAATTTTGCAACTCGTAAAAAAGATGATTTGTTTTTCTTTATGCAATGATTTTAGACTAAAAGCTTGCAATAATGTAAATTAAAATTTTTTATCTAAATTTCAAAAGCATGCCATCAAAATAAATTTTTTGTAAGATTTCATTAGAAAATATTTTTTATTTTATTTAATGATGATGAAAAGATTATTTTTGAAAGTGAATGTATGTGTGTGTGTGTGTATACGATTTCAATTACTTATGCGATCATAATCTAGATTTTCACCCACGGAATAATTTCTAAAAGCATTCATTGCAAAGTTTTTTAGTGTTGCTCTACCCGTATAAAAAGAAAAAGGCAAAAACACTAAGTCTTGGATTACATAAGTTTATTTAAATCTATATGGACCATTCTAGCCTTAAATCTATCCCATATTCTACCTTCCACGTGAATTATTTGCCGAATAGGCCGTACACTTCATGACTTAATGCAAGGGAAATAGACAATTAACCTAGACTAATCGTGTCTAGGCCTTGTCATAGGTCTTTTATCATATTACCCATTTCAAAGTTTTGGTATGCTATCCGTGTTACCCTATAATCACACAAGTTATCTGATTTCATTAAAAATTATTCATAAAATCGATTCAAGTATGAAGTACTATTTTCGAGCATAATTGGATCCTGATTAGCAAAACTCATTCTTTCAATTCTTCTAGATCGCTTCTTGTCAATATAGCTTTGCTCCACAAGTGTAAATCCATAGGCCCAACTCAAAGAAATGGAAGGAGCAAAGGAGTGGAACAAATAACCATTGTATCACAACATGTAGACAAAGTAGAAAGGGATAAACATACTCACAATGTATGTGTCACTCTAAACATTAAACACAGT